ACCTACTGTTTGCTAATTTTTTAAATAGACTATATCTATAAATTTTACCTCAGAAATACATTTTTGTGAATATTCTGCTAGCATATAAGTGAGGAATCATAAAGATTATTGAAATTATTTATTTATATCACTCGTCACCCTAATATGTACTTAAATATTATATATCAAAATTAATTTATCTCTGTACTAACAAAATTGTACTTGTACAAGTTCGCCTTACTAAAGTCCTTACTATAGCAATATTTTATAAATTATTTCTTTAAACCACCTTTGATTTAGTTACCTTTATTTTTATGCAATTTAAACTTCAGCAAAATATTACTATGTCAATGATTTTAATCCCAAAATATTGTATAACATCTAGTCAACATTTTTGTCACCTCTAGATTTATTGTCAATTATAAAGTCTCTGCAGTGTTAAATACTTACTCGGTCTACTTTCTGTTTTATTAATGACCTTTTTTATCTGCTCAGATAGGAATGGAAATTTTGCAGCCCTGGGAAAAGTGAGAATCTAGAGCTGAGATAACAAAAAAGGCAAGCTAAGGAGTATTGAAATTTTAGTTCTATTTGAACATTTCATCAGAAAATGTGAATTGATAAGTTTTAGAATCCTCACCCAAGACCCATACTAACAAGAAAATCAAAATGCAAGGAGAGGATTTTTAGAAACCTAATTATTAAAATAACTTCTACAGTATGTCCTCCAATTGCACTGTAGATATTTCAGATGCATACTTTATTATCACCCCCAAAGAACTTAACAGTTTTGTGGAAGTAGAATTGCAGACAAAATACAGGCAATATTTAGGGCATACTTATACTAAAAGTTATTTATTGTTTATTTAAAATAACATTTGGCTGGGCATCTGTATTTTTATTTGTTAAATCTGGCAACTTATGTAGAAGCATAATTTTAGGAATACTAGTTCATTTCTCTTTCACATTTAGATTAAAGAAACTTGATCTCTAAATATTGCAAAAACATGTGTTCTTAGATAGGATCAGCTAATGTGTGGAGACCCTAAGCAAAATGAAAACACAGGGCCTCTTTTTCAACAGTTATTATTTCAAGACGGCAATAGTAGAACTCTAAGCCAAGTGCCTATGAAGACAGCCTTGTTCTTAGAACCCCAAGAATTAGTAGGATATATGTGAATCAAGTACCCTTATGTTACAGAGAAACATAGATTGAGTCGTTTTTAACTCAGTCTGAAAAAGAGGTCACAAAACTTAGTCTAAAACGGGCCACATAATAAATCTTTTAGGCTTTGTGGGCCATGCAGCTTCTCTCACTACTCTTAGTTCTGTACTACACAAACAAATGAACATGGGCTGTGTTTCAATAAAACTTTATTTACAAAAACAGCTAGTGGACCAAAGTTGACCCCTAGACTATATTACAAACGTGAGCAAAATTACCAGTTAGATTTGTTTATATTCTACACAGATATAGCCACTAAGGTAGAAATTTATCATTTCCATGGGACATTAAAACATGTCACATAACAAAACACATAAACAAAACATATTAAAAAACATAACAAAATCTATTTTTATATATGTATCTTTAAACTAAATTCAACCATTTAATTCTATAAAACCACTACCCCAATTGCATAGGCCTTTTAAAAGAATGACTATACTTCCATATGCTTTTGTTAGTAATAAAATTTTAGAGTCAAAGAATCTTTCTCCATGAAGAAAGGCATGGAGATGTGACTGTACAGTCTGTTTTTACAGGAGTGACAGCTACATGACAAGCCACATAGAGTTGAAGATGAAACTGTGTCTACAAAACTCAAAGAACTTCTTGGCCTACTGTGGGTCTTAACTCAAACATCTCATTCCCAGCGAGGTCATCCCTGACCATCCCAGTTAAAGCTGCCACCTGCGCCAATCCCAGTACTCTTTATCCCTGTTTCCTGCTTTATTTAGTCCATAGCACTATTCTCTGTAAACTTACAATTTATTGTATTTGTCTGTTTATTGCCTCTCCTCCCCTACTCCCCCAACCTTCTCCTTGCCTATTAGAATGTAGGTTTCCCAATAGCAGAGAATGCTGACTTTGATTCACCACTACATGTAGAACACTTAGAACACTACCTAGCACATAGTAGGAATTCAATAAATAGATGTTTCATAATTAATTCTGGAGTGCAGGAAAGAAGTCCAAATGGCAGTATTAGTTTAAGAGTCACATAAGATGAAAGCTGACATTAACACATCCACAGTGCTAAACAGATATACATTTTTCTAGATGTTTCTATGGCTCTTAGGTTACGACTAAAGAAGCATAAAATTAGAGTAGAAAGTCTATATAAAAGAGAAAAACAGAGCGTTTAGGTACTTAGAAAACACTTAGAAAAACAAAGCCAATCATTTTGTTTTTCTTAATAACTTGTTGAAATTATAACATTCACACAAAATCATTTTTAATGAATAATAACATGAAACCAAAGAATACACTGAATGTGCAAAACATATGCAATGGGGAGTATATGAAAGGTAAGATCCCTTGCATTTGAGATGCTCACAATTTCTAAAATAGATTTTTAAATATATCCCTGCTCATTAACACTTACTCGATCTTATGTCTCTGTTTAATTATGCATCAAAGGAAGGGCCAGTTCTAGTGTTTTAATTCACAAGTTCTTAAAAGCACCCTTCAGCAAACATAAGTGAACTGCCAGCTGAGAAGCAACTCTAATAAAAACAGTGTCTTGTAGGAATTGTAAAATGGCTTATGATGCTTCCAATGAACATCAGAGAGGGACTATAACGTACCACACAAAGTGTATGTGTTTTGTGGTTCCTGGAAGATGTGTTGGTAATGCAATAAAATGTCTAGAATGTCTGCAAGCAATTTAAAAGGCAGCTTTAGGAGAGAGATAACCAAAGGGCTGAGCTTCTTATTAATTGTCCTTGCCTTTTCTATTTTGAATTGCATCATGTGACCTCTTTGAGCCTGAGAAATTTTCTTTTTAAAATTATACTGTGAAATTTGGAAGGCTGTGGATTACTCCCCCATCCTAGAACATTGATGATATTTTCTATGTAATATTTTTCAGTATCTAGTATTTAGCAATTTTACCAATAGATGGTCTAGATGTGCATTTTTCCTCCTCTTTATAAACATTAATTTAGTTTTCTCCAGAAAATCTACTTGATATTCTAAGTCATTACATACATTTTAAAATTCGAGCTAGTATTTGCAACCAAGTTTCTGAAAAGTATGACTTAAATAAATCATATCCAGTAACCTGTATAGCCCATCTCTTTTAATCCTGTGCATATGCCATGATATTAACTGTAGGAGCCCTTTATGCAGCTTATGGTCAAGTTACTTTGAAGACATTGATTTGTGAATCCAACTGTGTACGTGGTTCTATACTTTCTATACCATAAATTTCAGAACATACATTAGCATAAGTGCTAATTCTAAGTAAGGGGAACTTATTTCTGCTTAATTATTCAGGTTTGTGAGTCTAGCACTCAAGAGGGGCATTATATACACAAGGAAAATAATCAATGAGTGAAGTTTAAAATCTTTAAAACCAATCCTGCCACAAACTATAATCTTGGGCAAGTTCACTTAATTCCTTGTGATCTACATTTTCTTATTTTTAATATGAAAGGGTAAAGGAGATGGCTTTAAGAATCTAATTAAACCCTAAAAATACATTAGTCTAAATTATTTTTAGATATTTTATATGTAATTGGTTATATGACCACAAGATTGGCAGAATACACACTCTTGGAATAAATAGGCAGATATTCTTTATTACTTTCCAGACATAATTATCAAATAGTTAAGCACATGCTTTTCCACCTGATTAGGAGAGAATGTTTACTTCATCGTACAAAAGAAGGTGTAGTCCAGGAGAAGGATACATGTTACCGTCGATGCTGCTTGCAGCCACCTGCCAATCATAAAGGACGCCAGTTGGAGATCAAAGCTCACATGATGGAAAAAACAAGAGCCAAAAGAATCATGAAGATGTGAAACTGGAGCCCCCATTTTACTAAACTCTCAGCCTGCTGTTCCTCTGTACTTTCTTCTATATAAAACAACAAATTCCTTTATTGTTTAAGTCAACTCGAATTAGGGGTCTCTTTCTTATACACAAAATTATCCTGCCAAAAACTGTGTAATTAAGTACCTTATTTACAAATTCTAAATTGTTAACAATTGTTGTTGAATCTAACCAAGGTTTTCCTCTGCCTGATCCTGAGACCTGTTGAAATACGACATTTACGTTAACTCCCACTGAATCTTACTGCTGAGTCATTCCTTTTTCAGGACACTCATTCATTTGACAAAGATTTATTGAGTACTTTCTCTGTCTCAGGCATTGTGAGGCCCTAGTTTAGAGATAAATGAATTATAGCTCCTACCCTCATAGAATTAATGTTTAGGAAAGAACAAAGATATATAAATCAACAAATTATCATAACATGCAATGGTGCTATAATATATAAACACTGTGTGTGGAGGGGCGGGGGTATACACGGAGAGCACAGAGAATGGAAGCTGAAGATGTTTTGGAGGACTTTATGAATGCTTCACAGAAGAAATAAAATTTTATTTGGATCTTGAAGGATGACTAGGGGTTTTACAGTAGAGAAAAGGCATTCTAGGAAGTGGGGAAAACATGATTGGTTACCTATAACTATAAAAGCTTTGGAATGTTTGAGAATGGCAGACAATTCCAAGTGATGATGTGCTTCAAAAAAATAAGAAAAGTAACAAGTTCTAAGAGTCTAGACTTGGTCAGTCTCAAAAGTCCTTCTAGTTTTTTTGTTCTCATAGTCAAGTAGCTTAACACTTTTCTTCACCTTAGCTACCATTATCGTCTGTTGCAGTAATAGAGCCAAAAAAGGCTCAAAGCTGTGGTTTTTTTTAGCTTTTCTATTTTTCCATATAAGATCAGAGTCAAAAAGCTCAAGAGATGTATTTAATCACCATTATAATGTTTGTGAAACACTGATATTTATGAAATCCTGTGGCTACTGTCTTGATAATCATAATTTCTCATTATGATTTCTCAAATGTCTCATTGCTGCTTTACAAATTTTTTTAAGCTTCTCATCCACAATTAGTTTTGAGGTATTATTGGAAATTTGCTGGTTATTTAAATTAAAATGTGAAATTTTTTATTAAATTCTTCTTATAAAGCCAACTTATCAGCTTATATTATATAACTGTCTGTATTCTAACCCAGACAGTTAAGAGCACTTAACAAATGAACTCAGTATTTTTTTAAGTCTCAATTTGCCATTTTATATTTAAACAATATACCTTTACTGAGCACCTACTATATGTATGTTATGAGCACTGGGAATTTTATAAAAAATGTAGCCCAAGTGAACATGAAATGATTAAATAATCAAATTTCAAATGGCTACAGCCAGACAAGGTTTTTAATAGCACTGCAGGGGCAGTTTCACAGAGCTCATGACTCTATCAGAGAGGAATCTTTCTCAGATCAGACTCTACCAAGCAATTCTTCCTTCCTACTTAAACTGAGCATTGGCACACAAGATCTTCTTCTCGCATAATGCAGGATCAACTAGAAAGATTCACTCCTGTACTGACAGGCAACAGAGAAGCGGATTGGAGACCCCCAAAAAGCAGTAATATCATTATTTCTAGAATAAAGAACGGAGGAATTGGCAATCTTATTGAATATTTCAATGGAAAACAAATAAATGTCAGCATTGTGATGGTGAGAAGATAGGAGAGCTATCAATGAAGATACTATTGAAAATCTACATTTTAAACAAATTCAGAAAGACTTAGAAGCCTTTGAATTTGTTTTAAAAAGTAGAATTTAGCACACATGAACATGAAACTAATCTAAATCAGCAAACTAAAATAACAAAAGAGAAGAAATCTGAACAGGCCCAAGAAAATTCTCTTGGCCATTTCAACCTCCACCTTCTATCAATACTTTAGTAAGGGAAAACTGGTGGTTAAAGCCAGAACTTAATTCTATATATATCAGATGCCAGATATAGATCATGCTTTCAGATACATATTACAAAACTCAACAGTGGCTAAAAATAAATAGGAGTTTATTTTTGCCAATCTGAAAGACATCTGGAGGTAAGCATTTGCTGGTATTAGTGGCTCTGGTAGCAAGGCCAGTGTCTCTGTGATTCCCCTGTCCTTCAGCATTCCAAGATAGTCGTTCTCACTCTAGGCATCACATCCTCATTAGCTGCTAAAGGTGTAGGGGCAGACCAGTTCTCACCGAATGGGTCCTTATGAACTTAGAAAGTGAAATTTTTCAGACACTATCTCAACAGACTTCTATTTGGGCAAAACCATGTCACATGTCCACCTCTTTCAGAAAAAGGAGTTGGAAAAAGAGTTTTATGAAACCTTTTCCAAACTCTGTTGTGGGTAGAAGAAGAAATGACTTGAATTCCATTGGAAACGGGTCTACTTGCACATGCAGGCTACAGTAACTGATCAATATATGGTATATAGTTTTTTGTTCTATATAGTGCAGTTGACCATGGCAAATCAATATTATTATTGTCTTAAATCCCATATTAAAGAGTCTTTTACATATTTTAAAGATAAATTTCTAGGTCAGGTAAGCATCCTAATGACAACTGCAGTCAAGGTGCTTATACCTGAGAGTCCAGACCAGAAAAACATCATTATGCAATGATGCTTTAACAAACTCATTTTGACTGTGTAGCCTATACATGATTGAAGCATAATACAACTGTTAAATAAAGATATTAAGTGACTGTATTACAAAAAGCCTCATATCTAAAAAGAGGTAAATCATATAAAGTGAGGATGAATACAAGTGAGCAAATATAGGGCATCTAGAAATATCTATGACTATTTTTCACAATTTGTCTTTGCCCCAAGGCAGGAAGATTGACTAAATGACCTCTTAAGGTCTTTCCATAGTAAATTGTCCAACTAGACTCACAGGAATGCTGATCTTTTCACATTTTTGTAGGGACTTTAACACATTCAAAGAGCTGTGATCATTGATGAGACAAATCTGTTTGTCTAGCCTACAAAAAGTCTTGAAGTAAACATCTTTCTCTAGTAATCACAGAGGCAAGTAGCTGATTTCACAGTGAGCCTTGCACTGTACTTAGTCACCTTAAGTGCCCACAGCAGAGGTCTTAAAACATCTCATACAGACAAACTCTATTCTATTTTAAACAACATTAAAAAATGATTCTGCAGCCTCAAATTAAGGATATCATAAACAGCTCTTATTCCCAGTACTATATTTCTGCTATTAATGTTGACTAAAAGTCTAAAGACTTGTAGCGTGAAAAAAAATTAGAAAGAGGCAACCTTTACCCAACCTTGAAGTGAACAATCACATGATCAATCTTATTATTGTCTTAAATTTTTAATCAAATTGTCTCTAAATTTCATAGAGGAGTCATCTAACATTCTCTGACAGTTTTTAAATTTCTTTATTAAGAAGTAGAGAAAATAGCAAAGGAAGAAGAAAAACGTTAAGTCACGTAATTTCTGGAAACAGCCGTTTCTGTAAACAAGTTATGGACAACGCTTCTAGGGCCTTAACAATGTCCTACTGTCAAGGAAACGTGTTCTCAAAAAGCCAAGCTGATTAATTTCACCAATGGTCATGAGCCGCAACATAGCCAGGGGACATGACAGACTGACTGTAGGAGAAAACTATTATTTTCCCTCTGTGAACAATGCTGAAACTATTGAAATTATAGCTGGGAAGAAGTAAGCTCAATCATGCAGTTAAAGTGTTGTTTTGAACCAACTGGCCAATAATTTTCTCACTGAAATAAAACTTCAGGGAGCAAGCCCCTAGAAATGAAAGAATTGCCCATCACAACAAACAATCGCTCCCATATTAGAAGTCTGAAAAAGGTCCCGATTTCTCAAATCCTTGAGAAAGATAGCAATCTACATTCTCAATGTTAAACCAAATGCCTTTTTCAAAGGCTTAAAATAAACACTATGTGTTCTTGTAAATATTCTCAAAAAGTACCTAACACTTGTTATGACCATGCTTATTTAAACAAAAGACAAACTAACATCCAAATTCAGTTATTTTGCAAAGATGTAACATATGAGTATTATCACCAAGGTGACCAATCTGTTTAATCAAAGTAACATATTCTGGGAATCTTATTTTCTAAATAAAAACAATGATAAAATGTTTCTCATTTTAAATTAAAAAAAAAAAAAGGTTTAAATGGAAGCCTGAGTAGGATAGAGAGTGGGGTGAGTGAAAAGTAAGAAAATAATTAAGTTTTGCCTAGGGTTGTTGCTATTCTCCAGTTTCCTGATAACAACTCACTGTGGGTTCCAAAATAAATGCACCTGCTTTTTTATTGTATAATTTTTTTAAATGAATTTCCTAGTGTCAATGAATGAAGACCCTGAATAGAATTTCATGTGGAGGTTATCCATCGGTGATATCTCTCCCTTGCTGATTTCTTCCTAAAAGCATATGACCTGTTAGGGTACTGAGGCAGAGGGAGACATTCTCAAATGGAAGAGCTTTATTACTTTCTCAATGTATACATGCTGTCCTGATAATACATTTTCCATTCTGTCTGCTCTTAGGCAGTACCAGACAGGGAACTTTCAAGACCTACCCTATATAATCTAATTCAAACTACAATCTTGTCTTGACAAATTTTACATCTATACTGAATATTTTTAAAAATCACAATTTTATCTATTTTTTATGATTATAAAATTCTAGAAAAGTTTATCAAAACTGAATTTTCTTTTTTTTCTGGGGAAATGGATGTGGCAGTTGTCTCTGCTTTGCTAAGTCCCTAAACATAAACTAAAATCTGCCTCTTGATTAATCCAGCATTACCTTGAGATTTAGAAATTATGCTTGTCTCATCTTGGATAGTCTCTGTTTTAATTTTATCTTCAATG